GGCGGGTGGCACAGCAGCGCCCTCCCACTCAGCCCCACACAGCCTGGTGGACCCGCGGGTGGACATCGTGCAGGCTGAGTGGTCGCCCTGGCGCCCCACGCCCTGGCTGCTGCCATTGCTGCTGGAGCTGTCACCCTGGCGGGCCCGGCTGCAGGCCCTGGAGAGCACCCTGGACAACCACACCGAGGTGGTCTTCATCGCTGACTTCCCAGGTACTGTCACAAGCAATGGGGGCACCCTCAGGTGCTGCAGGCATCCGCAGCACTCTCCTTCTCCCTACCTTCTCCAGGCCTGCACCTGGAGAACTTTGTGAGCGAGGACTTGGGCAACACCAGCCTGCAGGTGCTGCGGGGCGAAGTGACAGTGGAGCTGGTGGAGCAGGGCAGCAACCACACGCTGCAGGAGGGCGAGGGGCTGCAGGTGAGCACCGAGTGGGTGCCGTGAGGTGGGCGCAGGCCTGAGCAGGTGCTGACACCCACCCTCTGCTGCAGCTGCCTGCCGGGCAGTACCACAAGGTACACACTGTCTCCCCTGAGCCCTCTTGCTACATGTACGTCTACGTCAACACCACAGCGCTGGCGCTGGAGAAGAACCTCACGCGGCTGCAGGAGCTGCGGGAGCGGGTGCAGAACGGCAGTGGTGAGTGGGTGCCCCCCTACTGCATGCACCCTGGGGGCAGGCGGAGGCTGGGCACTGTGGCTCACCCCACGCTATATCCCCCCAGAGACAGAGCCGCTGCCCCCCGAGCTGCGGCCCATCATGGGTGAGCCGTTGGCCGAGGGCACCGAGGCCGACCCGGTGGTGCAGGCCTTCCTGCGGCACCAGCGGCGCTTGGAGGAGCTGGGTCGACGCCACAACGAAAGCCTGGCGCAGCGCTTCCAGCGCTTCCTCCTCAAAAAATATTACCTCTTCCGGCGCAGGTGAGCCCTCTTCCCCACCTCCCTTTTTTCCCCTCCCTCATGTTCTGCCCCTCCTGGCACCTCCTTTTTTGCTCCCCCCTCACAGCGCCTTGATGACCTCCATCTCCCTGCGCAACCTGGTGCTGGGCCGGCCGCCCCTGGAGCAGCTGGCGCAGGAGGTGGCCTTCGCCAACCTGCGCGGCCAGGAGGAGAGCAGCCAGCCTGGCAGTGGGGACCATGGGGCTGCTGAGCAGCTCCCTGAGCTCTGAGCCCTGGCTTCCCACCACTGTGCCATGGGGGGGGCACCAAGCCCCCCCCCAAATAAACTTTTTTTAAGCCCCTCACCCACACACCTTCGGTTTCTCCCTTCGCTAGAGCTGGCAGCAGACATTGCCCCACGCAGGTACGGTAGAACCTAGCGTTTTTATTGAGATTTTTGAATTAATTGGTGAAATCAAGACATACGTAATAAAACCTCCAGAAAAAAATATTAAGAGAGAAAGAGAAAGAGAGAGAAAGAGAAAGCCCCCCACCACCCTCACCCCACCAAGGCACTTTCTGGGGCAGTGGACCTGGGACGGGCACGTAAACAAGCCGGCTTCTCTGTACCACACCGGCCAAATGAGCCACGGTCCCAAGCCCGGGGCAACCCCAGCTCTGCCCTCCCCTCTCCCCTCGCCCGTTTACAACCCAATCCCCCCCATTTTTCACCCCGGCAGGTGGGACCCGAGGTTTTTCTGTAGGACACCTCGGCCTCCCGGGGTGGGGGAAAGGCGGCCAGGAATCAAGGTGCAGGGGGGCTTTCAGGAAAATAAGAGCTGCCGTCTGAGCCCGGGGGCTTCTCTGTACTCACACCCCGCGCCTCAGGACACAATAAATAAGCCATTAGAAAAAACGTTCAAGTATGAAGGGCCGTTTTCCCCCCCCACCCTTCCCCAGAGCTGGGAAAGCCTTTCTGCTGTGTCCTCGCCCCTCCCCGCCAGCACAAAGCTCAAGGGTAGGAGGAGGGGGGTTGTGCAGTTGTGGATTAATCTCAGCTTTCTTATAAAGAAAAACAAAAAAAAAATTCCTCCGGTACCAAAGCGCACAGCCCACAGAGCTCAGGCCGATGCCGGAGCTCGGCAAGCCGGGCACCGTTGGGCTAGTGCTGAGCTACAGGTGGGACAGAGGGGGGTAGGTTGGGTTTTAACACACACCCTCCCCCCCTTATTACGTACGTCCTCCGAGAGAGAGAGACAGAGAGAGAGAAAGAGCTGGAAGCAGAGAGGTTAAAATCCGGTGCCGCTCAAGAGCTGGGAGTTAAGAACAAAAACAGCACCACCGAGGTCCGAGCGGGATGAGGCGTACGGCAAGCCGAAGGGCCAGCCAGCACGGGTGAGCTGGGGGGGCTACGGGACAGGAAAAACGCTCCCATAGAAAAGTGACTGTCAGAAGAGGTGGGGGCCAACCAGGGCTGGGAGTGCTTTGCCGTCTCAGAGCTCAGACGTCACAAGATTAAAAAGGCGGACAGATGCCAGAGGGAACCACAGACGTCAGGCGCACGTCACCAGGACGATGGCAGCACCGGGGAAAGGGGCTTGAGCCTACGCAGGCAGAAGGAAGGCACCCTTTGGGGCAGGGGGGGCACCGGGTGCGAGCGTGCCGCTGCCCCAAGGGGGGCCGGGGAGCACCACGGGGAAGGGCACGAGGCCACATGTGGTCCCCACACAACTGAAATCATGGCAACAAGACAGGTGAGTAAGAGCTGGAAAGGAGGACAGGAGAGCTTAGGGAAGAGGAGCTCTTTCCCCCAGAGCCTGAAAGCTTCTCTGTAGCCTACGCCAACAGGAGTGGGGAAAAAAGCCTAACACTTTCAGTACTTTAGCTTTTTGGGAACTTCCCAGGGGAAACTGTCCCTACCAAAGTGGCCATAGGCTGCAGTCCTCTGATAAATGGGCTTCTTCAGATCCAGATCCCTGGAATATACAAGTCCTCAACTTAGTAAGAGCATCCAGGCCCACGCCACACACAAACCTCCCTGCCTGTGGGGGCCGGGGGGCTCGCCACAGTCGGTGGCGCCACCTCCCTGCTGGCTCCCGGCGCCGTCGCCCCCTCCCTGCCCGCCTCCCTTCTCCCCAGGGGCTTTTGTATCTTCCCCAGCTGCTGCGGGAACACAGCCGGAAAAGCTACAAGCGCTTGGTTCTCAGCTGCCGGCGGATACTTACCCCCTCAGCAGCACCCGGTCCGCCCGAAAGCACTTATCTTCCGGCTTAAGCAGCTCTTGTCCTAGCCCAAAGGCTGCTTCTCCCTTTAAATCTGATGTTTCCAGCACGGGTTGCGGAAGAGGCAGCGAACGCGAACAGCAGCACAAGGTCATGCCCACGGCGGGCAGCTACTCCGGGCAGGCACTTGGCTCTGGGCTCTGCCTGCGGGGCTACGGGCACCCTCTGCCCCCACAGCAGCGGCCAGCTCCCCATGGGGACCCGCTCCTCGCTACTACCGGCAGGGCAAGGGGGGACCACGTCTGCGCCCGTCACCGCCCTCCAGGCGCCGTGCACCACTCCCGCCACCCCCCCCTTGTTCCCCGGCAGCATGCCTCCCCGCTTTTACCTGACAATGACCCCAGGGCGGAGGTCAAAGTTCTTCTTCACGATCTCCAGCAGCTCCCGCTCGCTCTTCTGGGACGTGCCGTAGTGGAAGATTGAGATGGACAAGGGGTGTGACACCCCAATGGCATAGGAAACCTGAGTTGGGGAATGAGATGATGTAAATCAAGCCATCGGCAGCCGTTGCCCCCTAAAAGCACTGCGCTGCGCAGCATGCCACGACGCCTACCTGCACGAGCACCCTCCGACAGAGCCCAGCTTTGATGAGGGACTTAGCCACCCAGCGTGCAGCGTAAGCAGCAGAACGGTCCACCTTGGTGTAGTCTTTCCCAGAGAAAGCGCCTCCACCATGGGCACCCCAGCCCCCATATGTGTCCACAATGATCTTCCGGCCTGTGAGGCCAGCGTCACCCTGCAATGGAAAGCGTTGTCATGAGCTGCTGCCTCAGGAGCTGGGTTCACTCACCCACAGGCTCCAAAGGGTACCGGCATCGCCAAGAAGTCCCCCAAAAGGTGGCCTTACCTGGGGGCCACCGATGACAAAGCGGCCGCTGGGCTGCAGGTGGTAAATAGTGTCATCATCCAGGTACTTGGCCGGCACAACAGCTTTGATCACCTTCTCCTTCAGCGCGTCCCTCATCTCATCCAAGCACACCTCCTCATCGTGCTGCACCGAGATGACGATCGTGTGCACGCGGATGGGGATCACGGCGCCACGATCCTGCATGTACTGCACCGTCACCTGAAAGGAGATGCCATCAGGGGACGCTCCCGCTGGGGAGCGAGGGACCACAGCGAGAACAGCTCCGAGGCCAAAGGCCCTCACCTGCGTCTTCGAGTCGGGCCGCAGCCAGGGCAGGGTGCCGTTGCGGCGCAGCTCGGCCAGCTTGGCATTCAGTTTGTGCGCCAGGACGATGGTCAGGGGCATGCACTCCTCCGTCTCGTCCGTGGCATAGCCAAACATCAGGCCCTGCGGGAGAGAGATGGGGGTCAAACCCTCAACTCGGGGAACCTCCCTCAAGCAGAGGGAAAGGTTGTTCAAGGTGGAAACAGCTGGGGACACTCACCTGGTCTCCAGCCCCAATATCTTCCTCACTGCGGTCCAGGTGGACACCCTGGGCGATGTCCGGGGACTGCTGCTCCAGGGCCACCAACACATTGCAAGTCTTGTAGTCAAAGCCTAGGGCAGAGCAGACTTAACTCCTTGGCCCCACGGCAATCCGCGCTCAACACCAGCAAGCAAACAGTGGCACATACCTTTGGAAGAATCATCATAACCAACATGCTTGATGGTGTCCCGAACAACCTTCTGGTAGTCAACAGCAGCTCGGGAAGTGATCTCCC